CAACAGCTGCTGAGGTTAAGCTAACAGTAAAATAACTGATTTCACTTTAACACAATTTAAATGGGTCAGAACCGACACCAGACAGAAACAGGGCCTTTCACAGGTCAGAATAAACCACATTTCAAACCGCCTTCACTAATTCTCAGCAGCAGCATCAGAACTGCAGATTATCCTTTACATTTGTAAAATAAAAAGAGAAATGTATCCATGAATTCAAGCTTTTCTCTGTAATTCCTGCTTTTTCTGCTTTTCTCTTCACAAAACGAACATTTCTGTTGAATCACTGAAAGCAGGTGTAATCTGCTGCGCTGCGTCCAGAAAACTCGTCAGAGTGAAACTTTCTGGGAGCAGAAGGTGAAACTGTTACAGTCGTCTCTGTTTCCGCCTCTCGTCTTGACGAGAGCCATTATTACCGTGTCAGATCTAATTACAGCAGATCATTTACACGTGATGCACGGCCCCTTCAAAACAATAATACGCTAAATACTCCGCAGCGGCTCACAAAGCGCGCCCCGTTAATGCAGTCAAGTCAGTGCAGCGCTAATCAATTTACGACTTCCACTGAAAACACGGAGAACAGAGAGACGGGACGTCAATCAGCCCAGAAGAACCGCAAAAACACCCAGGCAGGAAAAAATCTGTCTTCTCTAAACTCACTTCATAAAGTTTCTTTCAATGAATGTCACATTTAGTGAGAACTCTGTTTTTCTTAATTGGAATACAGTTTTGGTATTGCTGTGGTCCCATATGTTTATATTTTTGTAGTAATAAAAGCCCACTTTACTGATTACCTTACTGGTTTCCTTCCAGTAAGGTAATCGTGTGTTGATTGTTATGAGAAAATGGCTTCTTGTCTAAACATAGCTATTACGGAGGGCAAAAAGTGCCAACTTCAAGTAAAAAATAACATGTGACATACTTATTTCAATGCACATTAGCTTATTAAAACTGGAAGTAAACAGAAGCAATGTATTAATTACTATTAATAAAGATAATTCTGCACAGAGTCATAGCAAAATTGAAAGAAGTTAACTTGACTTCCTGTTTGAAGCAGCCAATCAGATGACAGGGTCTCATCCAATCCTGCCCACTGAGTTTAATGAGTGAAGTTGAATAGAAACACAAATTTAAAAATTATCACGCAACAGGAAGTGGTAGGCAGATGGTGTTTTTTAACAACTTACTGCATAACCAAACTTATTGAAACTGAGTTTCTTATTCTTTTGAATAAACTGTTCTTGTGACACTAGTGGAATATCAAAAAGTTTTGCGTACTTTAGTTTATGTTTTAGTTATTTCTTGTCTGTGTTTGAACAGTCAGAGCAGAAGCAGCTGAAAGCAGCACATTGGGACAGCGTGGTGCCAAAGGGGAAAACCGAGCCGCGACACCCAGCTGCAGTGATGAGCTCCTGGGGTGGAGAAGGACGCCGAGACGAGGAGACGGAGGTAAGAAGAGGACAGAAACTCTCGACGTTAACCTCCCAAAAACACAAGAAAGCGACGGCTCAGGTTGGAAAAGAAGATGGAAGAGAAAAACAGAAACGTTTCAGGGTGAGAGCAATAAAAAGAGAGACAGATATATGTAGTTCTAAATAAAGTGTCCAGATGTGACCTCCTCAGAGGGGGTCCGGCCTCATGGCTCAACACTCATTAATAAGGTCGCACAGAGGTCAGACAGACGGCGTTTCAGCACCAACAGCAGGAGGGGCGCCACATCGTCAGGTACATACGCAGCTCCTCCTTTTGTTTCCTGCCTTCGTTTTCTACTTTAAAATGTGAAACAACAGTCAGAACAAAAGAGGACGAAGGTTTCAATCAGCCTCGAGCCAGCCAAAGAAACGACGCTGGAATTACGGAGCATCATTCATATCAACACTCATCAATACAATTTTATTGACCTTTTTTCCTCAACAAAAATTGATGGAAAACTGTGAAATGCTCCAATTGTTGGACCAACAAATCAGATTTACGAAACCAAACTAGCAGCTTGTCAGGCTAAAGCTAACAGAAACACTGACAAGCTTTAAGGATGACTCAAAGTCCACCTTAAATCTGCAGAGTCAAGCTAGCAGCTCACTAACTCAAACTAACAGTCTCTGAGAGCTAAGCTAACAGCTATCATGACCTTAAACAGTAGGAAACAATGCTAAAACTATTGGAAGCTAAGCTAACATCCATTTAGAAATGGGCCAACAACTGCTGAGGTTATGCCAACAATAATCGTTAGTTGTTAAAGCAGCCAACAGTTAAACACGCCAACAGCTACTCAGAATAATTTAACAGCTAACACCTACTGGGAGCTAAGCTATAAACGAGTCAGAATCAAGCTAACAGCTGATCAGAATCAAGCTAACAGCTGATCAGAATCAAGCTAACAGCTTATTAGAGTAAAAAATACAGAAAAACAAGACAAGTTGAGCAAGCATTTGATATATTTAACTGTTATTTTGAGAGCTGAAACCACTGAGCCTGTTTAGTTTTGTGACAGAGTTTATATGGAGCCATGGTCAGAATGATGGCGCTGAACACCTTAAAGTAAAAGAAATGGCAACCATTACACTGAAAGACCAGATTCAAACCACAGAGACGTCACCACTGACTCAATGACCTGCGTGCCTGAACAGAAACATCACCTCCCTCACACACATCCTCTCATTGCTAGATCACCGAACGTGTGTGTGTGTGTGTGTAGCCACAGATTAATCTAGTGAGGTCGCTCAGATGACACTAATCCCTCCGCTGATTATCTAGAGCATAACATCACTCTAATCTGCACGGGGGGTCGGTTTAAAGACGACACACAAGGTTACAAAGGAGGGAGGGGGCAGAAAGACAGCTTCACACTTAACATGTTCAGGTTGGGTTTATTTAACTCTGGACTGCGGCTTCCTTTTAGGGTTTACTCTGCGTATAATCCAAACAGACAACTGTCATTTACTACTAAATGAAAGGGATTATCAAAGGCAATAGTTCAAGCACGGAAATAACTCCAGAGTGATGTTCACAATAGACGGTAAAACTGCAAAATCCCTTGGTTTAGTTTTACCAGAGAGCTTCCAGAGCTGTGGAACAAATCATTCATTTTATCCGCCGCAAAATTCACCAAACGATAAACTGGAAATGAGGTCAGAAATCTGTGAAATTAAAAATCAAAAACACAAACATAAAGTGACCCCAGTGGACTTGAGAGATCATTTCTTTAGCTTTCTTAGTTTTTCTAGTGATTTTTGGCTCATTATCTGAAACGTGTTTATGTTGACCCGCTTCTCTGCGCCTCTGACTCCAAGGCGCTCGTCTCGTTCACGTGAGGCGCTAAAAATGAACCCAACAAGTTGGCAAAATGAGTAAAAACAAGGCTTTCAACCAGGTTTATCATGAGCATGAACCACAGAGCGCAGGAGGCCAGAGTGGACGATGCTCCTGTTGCACTGCTAGCATGATGCTACAGGATGATGCTAATAAGGTTGGGTTGCTATTTGTGTATCGTTTATCTTGTTGGTTTAATCTTAATAAAGGCCAGTCTGTGGAAATATTGTCTCATTTTGAACTTTTTCACTGCGTTAGGCGGGCTGCGCTAGCAATGAGCGCTAAGCGCTAACATTTCCTACATAGTTTCCATAGCTACAGGGAGTGGTTTTACCATTGTTCAGTGATCTGGTTGTGTGAACCCAAACATCCAGAGGAAGACGGTGAAAACGTTTCTGTGTGCTGCATTTCGCCGGCTGTCTCCGTCTCTTAGCGTTAGCATCAAAACAGTAAATTTGTGGCGTCGCGGCTGCAGATGAAGACTCTGATATTTCCCTTTCTGAGTCGCAAACCGTAATCACAACGCTGTCACAACACATCCAGCTCACAATGGATCACTCCTGCTGCTCCACCTGCAGCTTTGACTGGATTAGGATTAAACTCCACAAAATAAACTAAAGAAAATATCATCTAATGGTCCCTTTGTTCAGCTAATTTACTTACAAACATTTAAATATTCATCAATTTGTAGCCACAAAGGCAATTATATACCTAGAAATATGTATGAATTATCCTAAGAGCAGGTTGTTTATAATAACTACTTTAATTTATCATGAGCATGAAAGCAGATACTGGTACTTTTGTGAGCATTCGCAGGCTCCACGTCTCACTGGAGAATAAAAATAAGAATAAAACACAAAGTGGAACAACAGCAGGTGATGACATGGAGCTCTGAGTCACTTCAACCAAACTGTTCTTCCACTAAACTTTCCATGAAAGTGCTTAGATACAGCAGAACAGAAATAAATCCTCAAAATGTGACTCCTTCGTGAATCTATATTTGGTTTCACTTTCTGTATTGAAAGTAATTATTTATAGATAGCACAATAACAATATTCACCGTTTTAATAATTAATAAAATTCCAAATAAGCATGCGAATTTTTTCCTGCAACACACTTTTTCCTTCCACTAAACTTTCCATCAGAACATGTAGCTGCAACTGCATTTAACAGAAATAAACACTGAAAATGTGATAAATTAATCTATATGTGGATTTTAACTTCATCACTTAAATTAATTTACTTCAGTAAAAGTACATCAACTAGTTATAGAAAACGTAGTAAACAAAAATAATAATTCAATCAATTATTAATATAAATTTTAGAAAATTAACAGAAATATAAATCCTCCCATCCCCAACATATCTTTTTCTTCCACTAAACTTTTCATTAAAAAACTCAGATATAGCAGCTTTTAACCCAAATAAAAGCTAAAATATGTGACTCTCTGTAACGATTATATATATATGATCTAATGTGTCCACCAAACAGTGGATATTTTTTTGTTTTTAAATAAAAATGTTTGTTCAGTATGAATGAAGCAGATGAAACATTTGGGATCAAAGCAGCGAAAAGCAGAAAGGCGGCAGGTAGAGTCAGAGAGCGTCTTCCATTGTTGATGCATCCAGTCAAAGGTAATTAGGCTCTGCTGTGTGTGTGAGGCAGATTATCTGTGTCAGTGGCCATTTGCTCACAACTGGCGCCAGAGGCAGAGAGCATCCTGGGTAAACGAGCAGACGCCGGCTGGCGTTTCTCCACTCGCAGACACAAACAGCCAAAACCAAGCATCCGATCCGCGCCTGACGGACGACAAACCGAGAGACGCAGGAAGTTAGCCCACCTGTTAGCCTGGAGTTTGAGTACGGAGGCGAGAGGCTGTCATGTGACGCCATGAACTGCGATCCATCGGCGTAACTCTGCAGAAAGAACAGGAAGTTAGCTGAACAGGAAGTTAGCTGAACGGGACGTTAGCTGAACTTTAGCTACAAGCTAGCAATTTTATTAAACTACATGTTTAGTTTCCAAACTAAATGTTTATCTACAAACTAAATATTTAGTTAGCAACATAAATATTTAGTTTGAAGCTAACTAATTAAACTTGCTTCAAACTAAGTATTTAGGAATAAACTAAATATTTAGTTTGTTAGCTATGAACTTGCTCACAACTATTTAGTTAGCCAGCTAAATAATTAGCTTCAAACTTAATATTTTGCTCTAAGCTAACCATTCATTAGAAAACTAAATGTTAGCAAGATCAATATTTAATTATTTGTTAGCTAACTAATCATCTAGTTATGAAACTAAATATAAAGTTAGTTAAATATTTAATTAAATGTTTAGCTAAATAATTAGCTTCAAACTAAATGTGAGGTTTGAAGCCATATTTACTACATGTAACTACATATTTAGTTTCAAACTACGACGTTTATAAATTAAAATATAACACTGAGAAATGGATCCCTGAATTTTCTGTGGTGAAATAATCCAAAATATTCCTGTTAATATTTGACAGTGTAACTTCACAAACACAGCCGGACATTTCTACATGAAAACAGTTGCTTTGTTATTAAGACCAAATCAAATTATTCTAAAGTATTTCTGATTGCTAATAAAACTGGAAGAAAAGCAACAAAACAAACCTTAGAGGAACGACTTCCACTCGCCCATGAAGCTGCATTTGTTCTTTCCTCCATACCTGCATGTAAACGAGACAAACATTAGCTCAAATTACAGTGAAGGAGATTATTTAAGTTCTTACTGAATACAGAAAGCATCGGGTCTGGGAAGCTGCAACTGGAACTGAAGTCTGGAATATCAGAAACTTTAATGGTCCAGATATTCCCATCCATCCAGCCTCAGTATATCTGATATTATTCATCTATCATTTCTACAAACCGTCTTATTATTGCCGGCTGCATTTGTTCAGTAACCATGGAAATGCCATGGATGCTCTCGTTTCCCCACAGACTCCAGTTTTTAAGTCCAGATGTTTGATTAAACATCTGGACCTGCAGCAGAACCGACTCTCTAACATCAACCCAAATGTCTCCAGTCCGGCTGCAGAGATGTTTTCACAAAACAAAACTGAAGTTTGACAACTTTTTAAAACGTCAGGAGAGAACGAGCAGCAATTATGAAAAAGCATCGCTGGGTAATAAAAAGTGAGGATTGGGGGATGGATGAGAGGAAAATGAGAGAGAAGTCCAAGTTGGAGTTAAAGGATGGGAGGAGGAGGAGAGAAGGAGGCGTCCATGTGTCCTGCACCTGATAAGGCGTCCAATTGAGGGCTATAAATTACACTAGAGACCCACAAACAGGGAGGATCAGTCCGAAAACCACACACACACACACACACACACACACACACACACACACACACACACACACACACACACACACACACACACACACACACTCTGCAGGTTATCTATCATCAGTTAATGAACTTAGACTGACAGACAGCCCCATGTCTCTCACAATGATCCTATTAAGATCTGCCTGACACAAAACAGACTCCTATTAATACAGTTAGCCCATGTGTGCATGTGTGGGGATCAGAGTGGACAAAAACACCACTGTGTCCAAAAACTACCACTCACACACCCAACCTGTTGTCTGAAAATCAGCATGTTACATGCACTCATTTCATAAAGTAGCTTAAATTAAAGTCATGTTCTTCCATGGAAAAATATTAACTTATAAATACAATATTTACTTCTAAAATAAATCAACAAGTCAGTTCTACAGCCTGAGCTGTTTGTGTCATAAAGTAATGTCCTGTATGGAGGACTGAAGCAGCCAAAATTCAGGAATATTTACATCAACTTATCAGTTATCAGATGTGGGTGAAGCTAACTAAAAGGTTACCTGTGCTAATCCTACAGCCAAAATAATAAAATAGTTCTGCTAATGCTAAAGCAACAGACCAATATAATTCTAAAGCCCTAATCAGAAACAGCTGTGCTACATTTAAGCGTTACCAACATGGTGTTTACTGGACGCTAATGCTAAACCCCTAATCATAAACATTTGTTCCTCCACCACTAAAGAGCTATAAAAACTTGGTATTTAGCAGTAGCCAATACTAAACTACTTAGCAATAGCAACAGAAATGCTAAATTGCTATACTAACATAATATTTGACAAAAGCTAATGCTAAAATGCTAATCATAAACAGTTCTGCTAAACTTAAGCACTATACCAACACAGCATTTAGTGGAAGCTAATGCTAAACTGCTAATGATTAACATTATTTCCACCAATATCAACATATTTACCACAATCTAAAGCTAAAGCTAAAATTCAACCATGTTGATACCCATGGTCTATGCCATTAGATATTGTTTATATTTTTTCTTAATTTTGTTTCTACATGTTTGTTTTAAATAAAGATATTAGGACAGGAAACTGTGTAAACAGTCTCCACCACTTCACAATAAGAGCATGAATAAAAACAGTTACCTACTTCAAGAATTACAAAAACCAAAACTACAACATAGACTGTGAACTGAAAGTTTACACAAAAAAAAACAGAAAATTTTAGCTTTGCAATTTATTCAAACAAACTGAGTTATGGGAAGTTAAATGCACTAAACATTTTCATTTTTATACACACATTTTCTTTAGTAAAAGCCCGAAACAAGTGACGATCACACCAAATCGTACTAAAAAGAAATTCAAACTGATTGATTAAAAACAAGAATGTTTGTAAACAACAGTTTTAGACACTAAAACCAAATGAACCTGAATTTCTGTAGGTCATTAAAGATCCAAACCCGTTTTCCTGACTCCTGTTTTATCATTTGACATATTCTTCTGATTCATGAATCCACGATGCGTCACTTTGACCCACTAACCCAGAGAATCAAACTTTCCAACCTGCCGGGTCCAAACGGTGTCAGTGGGTTGAAAAGCCGCAGCTGGGCACCGTGTGATGTAAACATGATGACGTCTGTAATAAAAGGTTTCTGACTGACAGAAATGAGGCCAGCAGTGACGACCGGCAACGCTGCACCTGTTTGGAGCTCCGTAGGAACAATTAAACCTGTCAGTTTGTTTAATTTAATCCTGAAACCTCCAAGATCTTCACATCACCTCAACACAAACCAAACTAAACCCTTCAGTCTCCAAAAACAAAGAAATGAAACTAGAGCAAAATGACGACCAGAAGTTCACAAGTTTAGCTTTTGAGTATTTTTCATGTTGCTTCTCATTTTCTTTCAAATTTTTGTCACTTTAGTCAAAACATGTTTATAAAGTTAAAACTTTGCAGTAATTTGGGTCATTTAGTCTCCTTAGTCATATTTTCACATGAATTACTAATTTAAACTAAACATTTATTTGACAAACTAAAAATTTAGTTCCAAACAAATTTAACATGCAAGCTAAATAACATAATTATTTATTTTAACTAACGATATAACTTCAAACTAAAAGTTGACTTTATAAAGTAAAAGAGTTTGTCTCAGAGCAAAATGTTTAGTGACTTATTTAGTTTGATGATGAACATTTAGATAAACTAGTTATTTAGTTAGCAAACTCAAGCTAAATATTTAGCTTTCTATATAATCATTTAGTTTACAAATTAAATAGTTGTAAACTAATATTTAATTAGTTTACAAATTAATTAATATTAATTTACAATTCTTTTGTTCAGTAAGCCAAAGAAATAAACTTTTTTTTGTGGACAGACCAAATAAAACTATTTAGTCTGAAAGTAAATATTACAAAGTTAAAGCTAAAGATTTAACTTAGAGTTAAATGTTTAATTTTGAGCTGAATCATTAGCTTAGTCACTAAATATTTTGTTTAACTAAATGATTAGTATATCAACCTGAGTAATGAACTAATAGAGAATATACTAAATATTTACTTTATTTCTTAAATATGTATCATCCTAATGAAATATTTAAAATAAAACTGCCAATCTGACTTTGGTTTTTGACACAGATATGGATTATTTTCTCTCTTAGTGAACATTTTCATCTGTAAACAGTGCTATTGTTTTATTTAAACTGGTTTGATTTTCTGAAACACTGAAATGAGACAAAAAATAAAACATGTTGAATGTTGTGCATGAGGGACTAAAAGCTCAAACTGCAGGAACTTTAAGGGGTTAAAACTTTAGAGCAGGAAAATAAATAAAGAAGCGACAGAGAAATGAGAATCTGATGGACGTTAAAACCAGACGGAGAAACAAACATTTAATTCAGACGTCTTATTTAAAGCGGAGGAGGAAAAGCTTCTTGTACCTTTACTGAACTACAATCATGTTTAATCCAGAACACACACACACACACACACACACACACACACACACACACACACACACACACACACACACACACACACACACACACAGAGAGAGAGAGAAATAAGACAGTAAGAATTAAGAATCAGATTACATCTCTATTAAAGCTGCTTAAAATGTCTAAAACCTACAATCCCTGAGTGTGAGTGGCTGAGCAAGCAGGAAGTGATGTCATCAACCAGTACAGGAAGTCCACCTCCTTTAGTTTTATTTCCTCTTTTCTCTCTTCATTCATCTTCCCTTTCCTTTAAGCTTCACTTAAATTACTGCTAATTTGTTTCTAAAAGAAATAAAAAATGAAACTCAAAAATAGATTTAAAAATGAAACTTTAACTCCACACTAAAACAGTTTTTTTAATTTGGTAATATTTAGTTTGTAAACTAATATTGAATGAATAACATTGCAAAAAAATGTGACTTTGAAATATGAACCCTCATGTTTTCCTGTTATGACAGCCTAAATAATCCAAATTATTGCTGTTAATTTTTACAATCTCACCCCAGAGATTATGGGCACTAATCCTCCTCTATAAATTGTATCACTCTGCTAATGTCGCTTCTTTTAGTATTGCTTGTGTCTTTGCCTCCAAACATTTTCTCCAAGAGACAAACAGTGATTTCAGCCAAACGGACCAGAACCACGCCCAGATTCCCGAGCCGCGCCTCTAACAGCTGGAGGAACAAAAACAGAATGTTTTCCTCCCCCAGCCCTCCGAATCCAGCAGGACGACACCGAAAACGGAAATCCGATTTCCAGCCTTGAGGTGGAGCTCGACGGTTTCATTCATGTTTCTGTGCTGAAACACCTCGCCCGGCGTTTCCTGTCATTAAGCAGCAGAGCCGTTCTATAATTAGAACATCTGGACTCTAATAGGTTTCTGCAGCGGCATCCTCAGCAAACCACCGCGCTGCGTGGCACACAGACACTAAAACCGAGCACGCTTCATGTTTCAGGCCCTTTTTCTCTGCCGTTTTGTTCATAGAGGAACATTAAAGCGGGAAAACAAACAACAGCTTGGAGAGCTAATGGCACGTTGAATGAAGAGGGAGAATAGTTTGTGTAGACAGAGAGAGAGGGAAAACATTAGCAAGTTCAAACATGGCTTTCTTGAATGCGCTGTTTTTAAAAGCCTACAGATGCCTTTCCAAAAAAAGAGATTAATATTGATAATAAGAAGGCCGATCCTTTTTGTTTTGTGTTTTTCTTCTTCGTCGCTGTGATGGAGGAAGAATAAGTGGAGCGGCAATTCCTTTGACAACCCCGCCACGCCGGCCCATGTGAAGCCCAGCCAACTGTGGCTTAGATGTCTGCACACCATCACAACCAGGAGAACAAAAGCAAAAAAAGGAAACCAAAACAGAGATCTGGGAGTGAACTGGTCACA